ACCCCATTTCAAGACCTCTATATACACCACTGTATTTTTCTAATATAAGAAAATATGTCTTTAAAAAAAATGTCAGTTATAATCTGCATGTAGGCCTTCAGCATTTCTGCCAGATGTCCAAAAGTATGGGTGAGCTAATTCCAGGGCTGATTTTTTTCGGGGGACTAAAAATGCTTAGTGTCACCAGGTCAAGCCCCGGGACAAGTTCCATTTGCCACTGGCTATCAGTCAGGGACGTATCCAGGGCGGGAGTGGGGTGGGGGAGAGCCGTGGGAGCCACCGCTTTGTACTCAGTGTTAAAAATTTAAGGCTGGTTCTTGCTGTTCAATAACAATTCTTTCCTGGGATCACTCAAAATGAATACTTCTAAAATATGGTAAATATGCATCAGCACACGATATACATATAAGCCTAATAATAGGCCTACTATAATTTTAACACATAGGCATAAGCGTTATCTTTTAAAGAAAATTACACAAATACGAATTGAACATATAGGCCTATGTTAAAATTCATTTTACTATCCTACCCTGTATGATACCCTAGTTAAATAACCCTGAAGACGGCGTGTCACTTTTTTGCAATAACAAATAACAGTGATTCGTGTTGATTTAAATGCTGTACAATTTCTAATTGACTCCAACTAGCGGTTTGTGACCCATGCTCTAATAGAAACCCACTATAAACGTATAATTATAAAAGTCACCCGCTAAAATGATAGCAGCCCAGCGGAATGTTCGTTATATTAATCAATTTTACGCTATACAAGATAACGCAAAAATTAACATTTTTGGGTTTATAATTAACAGCTACAGCTCAGGAGGTGGATTTAACAAACTCACTTAAACAAATAAAAATATCAGCTTAATTCGTCTCAAATCCATAAATCACAGGCCATGTCATTGAAGTTACTTAAATGTGATATTGTATGGTTCAGTTTAGTTTTTATCCTTTTGCAAGCTTTTATAAAATTTTGTTTAGTAATACCACTACTGGTAGTAGTAATAATAATAATGATGACGATGGTGATAATGATCATAGATAATAATATTAATAAGTGAAGAAAATTGTGCTAAAGGGAAAATAAAAGTTGTGATTTGTTGATCATAATTATTATAGTGTAGTTAAAGCTTAGTAAGCTATAGTTATGCCTACGTTGTGCTGAATATTAAGTTGATCTCTTATGATGATGAATTTTACTATACAAAAGTGTCATTTCCGGCCCTCATTTTTTTCACCTCAGCCCCAACTATGATGGGTATGAAGTGGGTGTGGACTCACGGAAGGTTCCTCGACCCTCAAAATTCTGGCTACGTCCCTACCATCAGTTTGTAGCCCACGAACTGATTTACTTTTTTTTTTTTTTAATTTTAGGAAGCAAGTTTACAACAGTTCCACCACACTAGTTATATTCACACCATTACCAGACATTTAGGGGACTCTGGAAGCCGTTAACATTTTGGAAAAATCGGTCTTCTAACTCTGTTATGGTTAATTGAGTTGTTGACAATACAGAATTTAAAATAATACGTGTTCCAGTGAAATCCATTTTGGGTATAAAATTAATGACGTCAGAAGGTCAGGGTAAGGAGCAACTGTAATACATATATACACCAAAGTATACAAACAAACAATATATAAACATACAAACAGCTAGTAACTTGTCCACTACAGGCGGTATTATATAATGGACTTTTTTGAGTGTCAATCGAGGTTAACTGTTGACCAATCAGAGCATACCAGTTCTATTACGACATTCAATACCGGTATCGAATTCAATAGCCCTAATAATTATTCGTATCGCTTATAGGCCCGCTGCATTTCATCAAACATCGACAGCAATTACGTCATAATCGAAGTAGGCCGACTATATATTATTAGTCTGAACATTGAAATATGTAACGTAAATTGAAGATGTATTTTTTTTATTTCGTCATAAATATTCATATTAGACTAATTAATAGTTTCAAGGTATGACATCATTGGCTCACTATTGTTGTGTTAACCTTTAAAAGATTTGGAAATACAACTGCTGGTTACAAGTATACAGCTATGCCTCACTTAGAGCTTAAAACGAACCTTCCTGACGATGCAATCACAGAGGATTTCATCAAACGATGCGCTAAGCTTTTGGCAGTGACAACTGGAAATCCAGAGAAGGTAAAAAAGTAGGCCTAGGCTAGAATGGAAAACGTCATTGGGAAGAAAAGTTATGATACTGCATAGGGTGTGGTTACGTTGTGGAAATACAAAATAATGTTTCGTGTACATGTACGTACTGCACGTATAGTGAAAGATTCTCACTACTGAGTATAATATTCATGAACTCTTGTTTTCTATTGTTCAATTCAAAATTTATTTTATTAGTATGCCATCAAAGGCAATTATCCAGGTAATTAAAGTAAACATTAAAATACACATAATTTAAAAATGTCGGTGCGCAATTGTATGTCCAATAATACACTGACAAATATATTAAGCACTTGATTTATAAAAGATAGATGGATATGCGGAAGGGTAAAAATCTGATAAGCTTAAGAGTAACTTTTGGGCATAACAAAATAGTACTGTGGCATATGTGAACAGCGCTTCACTTGTGATAACTGCTTAGGTGTAACTTGTTTTCATACCTGGTATTAAAGGGAACTCACTGGAATGCCCTCTAGGTTAAGTTTTTATATCAAATAAATATATAAATACCTTGTATATTAAGTCAAAAATTACCTGTTTAACTGAACACCATTAAACCCACCCAACGGATTATATTCAAGGTGAACAATTCAATGAATCAATAGAAGACAATAATTACTATAGTTCGCTTCTACTAAGGGATCATCTTCACGACAGCTAGCTACCAGATTTTGAAAATAAAAACAATTAAAAACTGACAAAAACCACTGTAATTTTGATATAAAACGACAATATTAATATTGAAAATATCAAACTTGGCTATCGATTTTACTGTCAGTCGTTTCCGGAGCTATCAAAATATCCGTTTTATTTACTTTAATAAATTCGTGTTCCGCAAGTCAGTATTTATCTCATCGAATGGCATTGTTGGTTTCAGTTAAATATTATCAACTATGATTCTAACTGGTGACCATGCCTTAAAGTTTGTTTTTAAACTTATTTTTTTAATCGTTGTCCATGCACTTTTTTTTATTATCGCATTTATTGTTTTCTTCTGAATTGTATTACTATAGGCCTATGTCCTATTTTATAAAATATTCTACACACTGTGTGTATTGTAACAGCAATAAACCATGCAAAACAAAACAATTGTTGAGTAAAATGCATGGTAAAATGTCTTCAATGCTAAAAAAAAAACAAAACTAATGAATTCTCCTGATTTTCGTAATTGGTTGCGAAGATGCTTCAGTAGAGAGTGTATTTTGATTAATTTAATTTTTTAGGATTGACATCAGACTGGTAACATTTTATTTTTAATTTCTAGGATTGATGTTTTTAACAGTACTGG